TTTCGGGCTTCTTTAGCCACGTCAATGATGCCGGCACCCGCCTCTCCTGTCACAGGACCAGAAAGAGAGCAGTCAGTGATCGCACACTGACAATAAGCAACAGGTGGATGTTGTGTCATTGCACACGAGAAGTGTAATCTTTGACATAGATACTAAATATAGATGGACACAGACAAGATGAAACTGATGATAATAATACCATGGCATTTCGATGTATACCATGATATTGAGTGAGTGATGTATTCATATGCACAAAAAGTACCTTGGTCTCAGTGTTATTTTAGTTTCACTGAGATACTTGTATAGTTATTGTAAATATTTTGAATTAGTTTTTACTTTTATATTTTCATTTTTGATAAAGTTTTAGTATATTTTGTCATTAGTTGTTGTTGTTGTTTTTTTTTTTTTAATGTGTCTATATAGTTTTTATACATTTTTCTTTCTTTTTTTAGTTATTTTAATACATCAAGTTAAATGTAAACAAGAAACATTGCTTTGGCAACTCTCTGAAAAAAAATAAGTTTAATTTTTTTTCAATTTTATTTTATTTCAGGTAAAGTTTCATTTATTTAGTAACAAAAATGTTTTATATGGTTTTACTTTTAGTTTTAACTTTTTTGACATGGTGCTCCCATGGTATTTTAAAGATGTATTTTTGGAAGTACATTGCTGAACCATATAAATGCTATGGTACTTTAACTTCAGTGCTGTTGTAAATCTAAAAATACCATGGTATTAACATCTCTGTATGTTTTATAGTACTTGAAATGTGCCTCAATCAAAGAATATCTTCCACCATGGTAAATATCCATAAACATGCTCTTATACACTATATATAATATCCTATTACTTGTTTCGCTTCTGTTTCAGTTTTTATAACCATTTCTTACTATGTGTCAGTAAGTTGTTGTTTTTTAGCATGTGTGTTTGGCAGTGTTATTTTTTAGGATTACTGATAAACTAATGTCATTTGATTTATATTATTTGTATTTGTTATTTATTTTAATTTTAGTTAAATTATGTCTGAATTTATTATGTCTGTATAGGTCTTTTATTAAGTTTTTAGTTTGATTTAATTTGAGTTATTTTAATACTTCAACAAACTAAATGGAAATGAAATAATATATATATTGAATTTATAAATGTGTGTATACATATATATATATGTATGTGTGTGTGTTTGTAGATACACATATATGTAGTTGTTTATTTTTGGTGTTTGGCTTAGTGTTATGTTAGAATCATTATTAAACTCATACCTTTTTTTCTTTAAAATATTTTGAATTGTTTTTAGCTTTATTTTTTGTTTTTCATTTAAATGTTAAGTTTTGAAATTTTGTTGTAAGCATTTGTAATTTTTATTTAATTTCTTTATTTTTAAAATGTGTATAAGTACTATTTATTAAATTTTAGCTTTTAGTTTTGGATCTGTTTTTAGTTGTTTTAATACTACAATTGATTGCTTCTGTTGTCCTCATTTGTAAGTCGCTTTGGATAAAAGCGTCTGATAAATGACTAAAAATAAATAAAAAATAAAATAAATAAATACACTGTAGCAATGATTGTAATCAAAACAAAGATTATTGAAGTACATTTTACAAGACTATACTATTTTAGTCTTTCTACTTCAAAATTTCTCTTTATAATTATTTGTGAAATACACTAGCAATGAAAACTGTGATTTTAATTAAACACTATGGTACAGAGATAGTATAACACAGAGATACTATGGTATTTTGAAATGCAAAATGAATGTACCGTGTTGTTTCTCTGCTGGCTTGTTAAATAACTTTACGTACGGTGACCGGTGTTTTGACGTGCTCGTCGCCGTCACAAACAACTGGGCGTGGCTGAGGCAATATTAGCCAATGAGAGGCTGCGCTCATGGACCCCATCCACTTTCTCTGGAATGCGTACTTATCAGCTGTGTTTTGTTATTGAATGTATTTTTATTTTTTATTTCATTATGACGTACTTCTGTGAAGCTTGTAATGACAAGGTTTTTTTTTTATTTTTAAAATATTTAATATAGCATATTTAAATATCTATATTTTTGCACGATTGTTTGAAGTTTGCTATTAAGTAGCGAATAATAAATTAAGTACAGATATGTATTTTTTTTAGATATGTATTTAATATATCAAAAATGTATTTTTTCTTTAATCAGTGTCAATAAACAGCAGGTTTCCTGCAGTTAGTGTGACAACTCGTCCCTATACTGTATGTTATTTGAATGGTGTTTTCCACCTTTGTACAGTGTTTTACAACATATCTTACCAGGGATCCTCCCAAATGACATGGTTTTAATAATATGTCCTCTCGGGGGACTGTAGAGGACAGAATACTCTGCATTACTGTTTTGTTTGCAATGTTCTTTATTTGAGTGCAGTTGTGTCAAGATTCCTCGTGTGCATGCACTCGTGGGACATGGGAACGTTCTCGCATAAACATGTGTTTTGAGGTTTGGGATGTCGAAGAGTTTAGAGTTCACAGGGCTGACACTACAATTGAACAAAAGTAATGTGTTCGTCCGATTCAAGAGGTGGGACAGTTCCACAAATTGATTTTCTGGGCATCTTTCCTGAAATTGTTTGCACAAAAGCACATTTATCATGGTTATATATCTGTTTATAAAGTTATGTAACTATGATTTACAAACATTTACAAACTGAATGTCAGTGATATAATTTATAATCGGACCGGTTTAAAGGCCCCCCTGAAATCACTGACTTGGGTCCCCCTCGGTTGAAATGGCGGTCCGAGGGAGCATATTTCGGCTGGGCCCTCTCTGGACTAGTGCGCAGGGCACGTGCCTGGTAGGCCTGTGCGTTAATCCAGCCCTGCATTTGTCTATCATTTTTTAAATTGTTACTATTTGTTTCAGAATGTTCAGAACCTGGACGTTTTGAATGTTCAGAGAACATTCAGAAATAGTATTTTCATAACGTAATGGGAACATTAGCAAAAAATTATTTCTAATAAAGCTCTAAACTAAAAAACTAAAATTCTTTGAACATATTTTTGTTTGCTGGAAGTCTCTCAATTAATATGAGTTTACAAAAACTGCATGCATGTATAATAACTGTATACACAGTGTGTGTGTGTGTGTGTGTGTATATATATACAATTATGAAATTATATATCATATAATTGTACGACACTGCTAAAACTATCTGCATGCAGACATATTTTCTGGATTTTTCACATTTCTGGAGATGTGGAGTTTTTGGATTTGTTGCTGTGGATATTTTTAGATCTCAATGAATGGACTATTCTGTTCACTCTGTTCCTAAAATGTATGTTGTGAAATGACAACATAAACTATATCCTTTAACCCACATTTGGACGGCATTAAACAGAATCTCGAGGAAAATATTTTCTTGGATACTTTTGAGAGGTCAGTGATTGGGCATTTGCTCCGAAGACCAATGAAACAAACGGGCATATGATTTGGCATAAAACAGATTTGTAAAACTTCGTCCTTTTAATACTTCTTCTTCTTCTTTTTTAATACTTTTTGTTAGTTTTGACTGCTTTTATTGTCCTCTTTGGAAGTCGCTTTGGATAAAAGCGTCTGCTAAATGACTAAATGTAAATGTAAATGTAATACATTTATATATTTTGTCAGGCACACCCCATTCATAATTTTCCCATCAAAATAGATCTCATCCCTCACTTTTGTCCTTCACCTCATGAGAGGGGACTTTATCCTGGATTCTCCCCTTATTCCTGGTGGGATAAACCAATCACACACTTCAGCAGGTGGTGGAGCAGAACATGTTGAGACATGCATAAAAACACTGCAACAGCAGACTGAGGAAGACACTCATAAAATAATGCTTCATATGATTCTCTCATCCACAATCAGACTATTAGATACCGTAAGTAAGTCTATTATATTATATTATATTATATTATATTATATTATATATTACTGGGACTCAGGCATAGACATTTGTCCTCTGTAGAGGACATTATATATTTTAGTGTATTTCTCTGAGACCATACATGCCACAGTTTTAAGTCTGGGTGTTTTGTCCAGAGCACATTCAGGGCTTTTTAGAGATATTAAATGATGTTTGATCATAAACACACCTTCTCCTTGGTCTTTAAATATGACTGATATTGACAGAATGATCAAATTTAGCACTCTTACGGAAATGTTAATATTTTGTAATTATCATTTAAATCTGGCTAATGTTCAAATAGTTTGTCGTAAATAAAAATCTCAGAAAAATGTTATGGGGTTTCAGTTCGGAATATGAGTTTTTGTTATGAAACAGGGCATAATTTTCATACATGCCTTCTGTAGAGGACACTGGACAAACGGCTGTTAATCAGGCATTTTGGGGAAACACAACAAGTCAATAGGGAAAGAAATTATAGATCAATATTCCTATGAAATATGATATATTCTTATGAAAATGTTGCCAAATCATTACACACATATTCCATAAAGTAAAATAGTATATCAAATCATTCTGTTATATCTTTCATAACTTAGTTGAGAATCATCTTTGTACAAAGTCTGGCTAAAAATAGCCTGAAACCCAAAAACTGATTGGTGAATGAAAACATAGAAATAATGAAAATAAAATCATTGTTTTTGCCTATACATGCCTTTTCATGTCTATTTTAAAAAAAAACTTGGTCCTGGCGTCTAAGTTAAAAGAATAAAATATGAATAAAACAAAGAATAAAATATGAATAAAATGTACAGGTGCATCTCAATAAATTAGAATGTCGTGGAAAAGTTCATTTATTTCAGTAATTATATATATATATATATATATATAATATTTAATAATTACTTTTAATATTAATTAATAGATTTTGAAAAGGTAATTATGCATTGACAAAACGTATTTATTTATTATTTTTCAGTAGTGGTGATGCTCAGGTGCTGATCTTGAGTTTTTCTCACTGTGCAGTTCATTGTTACGGTTTTATTGATTCTGAGTGTTTCCAATTAACATCTTTCTTTCTCTCTGACTGATGTTTTGTCTCTCCAGTGCAGGGGCTTGTCTGAACATGGCTGCCCAGTCTAGAGATGTGACCCCACCGCGGTGATGGAAAGATGAAGACGGAGGTGCCAGATTCATCTCTCCTTCATTTTTCTCACTATATGTTGTTTGTAGGAGGGGCTGAAGAAGAGAAAAAAGGGAATAGATGGAGAGAGAAGAGGATGAACAGGCAGAGGAGAAAGTGTGGCTGGCCACAAATCTTGGAGAAAGAGAAGGAGGAGGACATATTGATGGTTTTTCAGCTGAAAGAGGAGCGATGATGGGGACGGAAGAGGGTCTGGTTTTACCAGGTTTCTTTGGGAACTCGCAGTTGGAGGAAAGTCCACCATTAGGATTCTCTCTTTCCTCGGACCATACGGATACCTGGGCTCTGTCCATCTTGTCATCCTCTTCCTCCTCTCTGCCCTGTCTCTCTCCTCCTCTTCCTCCGTCTGTGGGGCTGGATGGCGTGCTGGCAGAGGGCCGGCTGGTTCTGGACGTGTATCGGGGCGGTTGAACTTTTCCACGACATTCTAATTTATTGAGATGCACCTGTATTTTTCCAAAAATGTTTTTCTCCATTTGTTTCTTATGCTCCGACCAATGTAATGACATAAAAAAATTCACAAAAGAAATGTTTTTATCATTCTCAGAAGGATATTATATTATATTATATTATATTAACACGCATTTTAAGTGTACTTCTTTGCTGTCACTGTGTCTTTAAGAAATCTCCTCCCGCCTTTTGCTCAAAGTTCCGCGGTGAGTGTCAACACGAGACATGTGCGTGAAACACGGAAGTAAACTTATTATATTTAACACATGTAAACGCATCAAATAAAGATGACATTTTGGTTTTATACATGTTAGTTTTATAGAAATCGCGAGACCGTATAACGTCTTAAACGCTACAGACGCGTCACGTCCATCAAGGATTACCAGCAGTGTAAGTGTTTATCATTCAGTCAGTTTGTTACTTGTTAAAATGATATATAACTTATTATTCTGTATAAAGGTTCAGTGAGGTCTTTTCCCAGCACTCGTAAATGTTGTTACACACTTGAATTAAGCTGTGATTTAGTTTAAGCCACAAAGGAATGAATGAGTATGGTGCCTTTACAGTGATTTACCATGGTAAATATAGTTACCTCTAAAACAGCGCAGATAATGCAGTTATTGTTACTAAATACAATAAGATGGTAATACCCACCACTGTCACTAAGTGATAAATTAAAATTTGACAAAAAACTGAAGTTAGTAAATGCAGTAAAATGACAGTAAGATGGATAATATTAATGTATACACTGAAATTAAATATGCAATAATATGCGGTCATTTAATTATGTACACATGTACACACACTCACTTACATATACATACACACTGTTTATGTAGATAACATTTAAACAGCAGCAATTTGTTCGCATTATTTTATTAGAAATATTATATATTTTATTAGAAATATTAGATGTTAGAAATATTAGAAATAATCCATCCATCCATCCATCCATCCATCCATCCATCCATCTTTCTATCCATGCATACACCCATCCATCCATCCATCCGTCTTTGTGCTTATATATTCATCCGTCTGACTATCGGTCAGTCTATCATGTTTTTGGTCTATCTGTCTAACGTTTTTCATGTGTTTATATTCTCTCTCTATGTTTCTGTCTCAAGGACATCGTTTCTATGACCCTCAGGGTGACCCTCTCCCTGGCCTCCTCTCCTCTCTCCCTGACTCCGTCTCCTCTCTGTCTCTCCTCGTTCACCTGGATCTCTCATTCAACTGTCTGTCCTCTCTTCCTCCCTGTCTCCTGTCACTCTCTCATCTCTCTGAGCTGCTGCTGTGTCATAATCAGCTGACGGGTCTGCCGGAGGGTCTGGGAGCGCTGGTGTCCCTGCGGCGGGTGAGTCTGCTGGGGAACAGGCTGGAGGATCTGCCCCGGGGAGTGGGCCTCCTCTGCAGGCTGCAGGAGCTGGATGTGTCCTTCAACCAGCTGGAGAGACTTCCAGATGAACTCGGCCAACTACAGGACTTACAAAAACTGGAGCTGTCAAATAACAGGCTCAGAGCGCTGCCGGAGACTCTGGGTGAAGAACACAAACACACACACATACACACACACACAAATGTTTTATGGGGACTTTCCATATATATATATAATAATTTTTATACTGGACAGACTGTATTTTCTGTCCCCTAACCCTACCCCTGAACACAACCCTCAGAGCAAACGTTCTGCATTTTGACATTTTCCAAAAAAAAAACAAAAAAAACCATCAAAACGTTACTATCCTTGTGGGGACATTTGGTCTTTACAACATAGGATTTACCTGGACCACACACACACTTAAATGAGTGTGTCTCGTTAAATGAGGATATAAGATAGGCTTTAATTGTTTTATATAAAGCAAATAAATACAAGAAAAGCTAAATAATACAGACTAACCATTAGAATAATTTGTTTACCTAGTTGTTTTATGCCATGTTAACATCTAAGGCTATTTTCATGGCAAGAATGGTAAAAAAGCTCTTAAAAAATAGGTGAATAAATTAATAAACATATTTGTTAATTGTTTTTAATAGTATTTAATAGCATCTAAGGCTATTTTCATGGCAAGAACAGTAAAAACTTTTTAAAAAAATAGGTAAATATACATTTGATAATAATTTTAATAGTATTTAATATTTATTCGCATCTAAGGCTATTTGCATGGCGAGAATGGTAAAAATCTTTTTTTTAAATTATTAATTAATAAACATATTTGATAATAACGTTTAATAATATTTAATAATTAATTTTATATTTATTAATAAACAAGGTAGATAAGGGATAATGATAAAAATAATTTATATACAAAAAGATAAATTCAAGATTTTAGGTACTTAGAATAAAACAAAATATTATTTATTTTATGTACAGTATAAATTGTTTTTCCAAACGAGGATGTCCCTAGATGTCTGCAAAGGGAGGTTTTGGCATATTTAGTTAGACAATTTTATCCTCAAGCTATAGCTAAATAAACACACATAAACCACTCAAACACTATTAGATTTGTAGTGTAAACGCAAATGTGTCCTGATGAGTCCCAAACAACACCAAAGGACTGTCTACTGCCTTACATGATGCTATCTTTGTGTCAAAAAATAGTTTTATACTATGCAAACTACAGTAGAAACAACTATTTCTAAATGAGGTTTCAGCTTTTGAAAGGAAAGTCTAGTATTTGTGACATTGTCTTTTGTAAGTTTAACTGTCTGATGGCTAATTGTCTCTGTCAGGGTCTCTCCGCTCTCTGAGGCAGCTAGTAATCCAGAGTAATGATCTGAGGACTGTTCCAGAATGTTTGCGCTCCCTCCCGCTGCTCGACAAACTAGACACGAGGAACAACCCGCTGGGCCGACCGCCGACGCCCCCACTGATCGCCCACGTGACCCCAGGTGCTGCTGCTTTAGTCTAGTTTACGTTGCATTATTATAATGACATTTTTATCAAACAAATATGATTTTTTTAGGATCTTTTATTACATAATGTATTCTGGATGAGATTTTTTTTTTTGCATTGGTGGATGAAACCTGAACAAACTAAGCCTGTATGATCTCAATGACAGTGTTTGTGCTTTATAGTTCTGGAAGAATCTGAGATCCCAGAACTGCACCTCGGATTTGGTCAACACAGGTGAACTGAGCCCACCTTCATTTACCATTCAAAAGTTTGGGGGGCGGTTTTAATGTTCTTGAAAGACGTCTTATATGCTCACCCTAGGGTGCATTTATTTGCTAGAAATACAGCAAAAACACTAATATAGTGAAATATTATTACATTTTAAAAGAACTGTTTTCTATTTTAATATATTTTAAAATATAATTTATTCCTGTGATGCAAATCTGAATTTTCAGCATCATTACGCCATCCAGTCTTCAGTGTCACATGATCCTTCAGAAATCATTCTAATATGCTGATGTAGTGCTGAAGAAATATTTCTGATTATTATCATTGTTGAAAACAGTTGTGCTCATTCATATTTTTCTGTAAACCATTATGCTTTTTTTTCAGTATTCTTTTTCAATTTAATGCATCTTTGCTGAATAAAAGTATTAATTATTTTTTTAAAATTCACTTACTACTTAAAAAAAAAATAGTATGCCGTACACATTCTGTAATGCTAGTTCCAAATGTAACTCTTCTCTGCCCATCAGTTTTGAAGTATCATCTGCTGGTTGTCACGTGTTCATTCCTGGAGGGGCGGAGCTCTTGTTTCCACGGAGATGCGTAAACGCAGTCACACAACTCCAGTGGGCGGAGAGGAGACCAGACAGAAAGTGGGTGTGGCTAGAGGAGCATGATGTCCTTTTGAGTCGACAGCTGGAGCTCCGCCCACACGGAGCCACATTTGAGGAGGTTGTTGTTTTTGTTTATACTTATATAAATATAAACACTTAAAGTGAAAGAAAGCTCCTGTTTTATATTGTATAATTGATACAGTTCATAACTATAAATGAATAAATTACAGTAATATGATAAATAATAATGTGAAAAATTGTAATTATATAAATATAATTAATAAATATATGAATATGAATAATGTAATAATTATAATAATTTTAGAGTGAACGAAAGCTCCTGTTTAATGTATAAATAGAACTAATAATAACTATAAATGACCAAAATAAAGTATTATTATAATTAATAATATATGGAAAAATTATAAATATAGAATAAATCAAGAATTATAATGAATACTAATAATATATGAATATTAATACAATTGTAAAAAAAAAAATGTTTAGAGTGAAAAAAGCTCTATTTTTGTAATTATATAAATATATTATTGATTATAATTAAATATATGAATATTAATAAAATATAATAATTTAATTCTTTTTAAGTTGGGGGGGGTAAAGCTT